TCAATTACGTTTGGCTGGATCTTTTGGCACTAAAAGAAATGGTCTCGGAGAGTAAAGTCTCTCTGGCAAAGCAGGTAAAATACGCAAACAAAAGCTCTAGCAATGAATGTATGTGATACATTCACTCAGGGATGTAATACCAGAGTATCACTTTAGTTCTTCTGGGATGGCATACAGAGTGTCACAATGTGTATCTCAGAGAAGGCCCTGGGACCTATAAGCTAATCAATGCTTTGCTCTGGATTCCATATTCATAATAATAATTATTACAATCATCATCTTCGGATCAGGTAAATGGCATGGATCTTTCTCCAAATGACTGAAGAACAAGAAGAAACTTGACTGGTGTTCTCACAACCTTGGAGAATATTAAAAAGTTACAAAGATTCTTCAATTGCATAGTAAGGCCTTCTGTTTCTAAACCTTACCCCACACCCAAATTGAATTACACTAATTTTTTTTCACAACATTTGCTTGAAAAAACAAAAGACGTTTTAATTGCTACCAGTGAGATATTACATCAAGGAGAATTTAGAAGGCTAAGCCTCCCTCTTAGCTAATTCCTCTAACCAATTTCCACAGCAGAATGAACTAAGTTTTCTCCTTAAAAGTATTATAATCCTTACAGGCCATATATCATGTAAGTAATGGGACAGAGATGGATTTGACAATTTTTTAATTAAAAGAAAAGGGATTTCTATCCCCCTGGGTAACGTATCAAAATTTTTCAGACAGAGAGAGGCAGTTTCATTCTTCATATTTAAAATATATATATATATAGTGATGATAGAATTAAAATTATTTTGTTCTCCCACTCAGGACTTTATTAGTTACATTCCTCATCGCTGGGACAAAAACACCCAAGGAGAAGCAACTCAAGGACAGAAAGGTGTAGTTTGATTCACAATTTGAGGAAGGAATTTCATCAGGTGTAGTAGGCGTGGCAGGGTCTGTAGGAAACAGGCCATGCAAACTTTAAGTCAGGAAGAGACTCAAGTGGACACGGCTATGGAATGGACAGGCTGCCCACAATGGTCCACATCTTCTCACACCACACCTCCATGCACAGAACCACAGCATCTCCTGGAGGTCTTACAACCTTACTGAGTAGCACCGCTAGCCAGAAACGGGAACACTCATTCAAACACCCTAGCCTCTTGGGGAAGTTCAGCTTGCAAACCATGACTGAGTCAGAACATTCGTGCAGTACTAACCACCCTATGTTTATCTTGACTGGCATGTCTGCCAAAGCCGATAGTAGGTCTCCTATTTCCTACATGCTGTATATACACCTAAAAATTGTTTAGGGCTCTTCCTCATCAAGGGTCTCATTTATATAATATCTGCATTGTTTTTCATTTCAGAAACAGTAATTGGATGGGAGTTATGCACCAATTACAGACTGCGATATACCAGTTAATAAGACAGACATGGAAAGGAAGGGCTCTATTCTAGATATATCTTGAAAACATAATTAGAGTAAAAAATATAGTAGAGTAGAAACTCTATTTAATCGGCTTATAACATTAGCAGTTTGTTTGTTTGTTTTCTGCAGTGTTAAAAGTTCAGTTTATGGATTCCCATTTAATAGGCTAGGACTCTCCCACTGAGTTATATTGCCAGGACAGCACTTTAGTTCTTATGAGAACAACATACAGAGTGTCATCCATATTGAGCTTCTGAATTCCTAAGAAGGCACAATATAGAAAAATATCAAACATTGAGAAGTATATCCAAAGCTAATTCCTATGTTCCTGACCTCAGAGAGCAGGCAATACACATAGGGCCAGTAACATAGGGTAATGGACTGAATACCAGGTGGCAGAGGTCACAAAGGATTCTTTAGTATCAGCCCGGAGTAACTGGAGGCTTACATTACTTACTATCAACCAAAGAGGAGAAGATACAAACAAAGGATGATTTGAAGGCAGCCTTAGGGCGTGGTTTTTAATATAGAATGTTGGAAATATATTTGAGATGTTTAAGTGGAACTATGTAAGGAATGGATACCTGAGTCAGGTTGCAAGGGAGAGGACTAGAGGAGAGAAACATTTGTGAGCCACTAGTGTATGGATCACATTTAGAGCCACGAACTACTATAGTATACATGTGTAAATAAAGTCTTGGGAAGAAAACTGAATTGTTTCCATGATAGGAAATTAGGGTGAAAAGTCATACTAGAAATGATTACCAGGAAAGATCAAACAATGAGGTTTGGGGAAAATCAATGGAATGTTGAAATCAAGTCAGAGAGTTTCTTAGAATCCTGGTTAGAGGTCAATATGATGGGCCATACAGCTTAATCCTTAGATTTGGATAGCTCTCCAATAATAACAACTTCAATTAAGAGCAATTTTAGTGCAGACATGAAGTGAAAAGGCTATAGAGTAAGCTAGGGCAACAACAAGAAAGGATTAGTGGCGTTTGAAGGTTACTCAAGTAGAACAAAGGTGTTAAATTATAGCTGAGAAGTTGGTAGGCAAAAGAGAAGTTGTCATATATTGAAGTTAGAGATACATTGTTACCTCATGGTCTAAAGGGATGGTTTAGTGGCAGAGGAGAATATTAGCAGGGAAACGAGTGTGTAAGCGTGTGTTAAGTGGGAGTAAGTGCTCTGAGTAGGTAGACACGGATGCAGAGTTCATGGACACCCCTTCTCTGCAACCCATCTTTCAGTGGAGTGACATCACAGTTAACAGTTAACAAGTCTAATACAGGTAGTATTAGAGTTTTGAGAAGAAAGGAGTAACTTTTTTTCTAAGAATTCGAGAGACTGAGCAGTTTGGGAAAATAAGAGAGGATGAAGGAATTAGGGGTGTGTGTGGAAGGAGAAGAAACTTCCAGCTATCACAAGGACTGAGCTGATTAAGAAAGAAGGTGTAGGCGATTTGATAAGTGACTGAAAAACAGATCAAGTTTATAAACTGGGAATCCTAGCAGGGTCATTGTAGAGTCAGCGAACAGTAGGGAGAGGACTGTAAACATAGGGAACTTCAAGCATCAAGAATAGAATTTATGAGGCTGGAGAAATGGTTCAGTGGTTAAGAGCACTAGCTGTTCTTCTAGAGGACCAGGGTTCAACTCCTATTTAAGCTTCTGATGGCCCACATGTGTATGACATGTATCATACACAGACATATATGATGAATAGGATTCATGGCAATGATGTTATGGAGAAGTTATAATTTCTGATGATGTCAAGGACTAAGCTCTGACTATAGGACTGTGAGGCTTGGGACAGATTGTAGGATAAGGTCCCCGGAGAAGGCTAGGTTGTTGGGAGATCCATTTTTTCACATCCTTGAAATTCCACAAATTAAGGCAGGGATTGTACTGGAGGAAGAGACAGTGCTCCCGACTGTAAAGCTAATTTCAAACACATAATGGTAATAAGAGTGTCAAAAGAGCACCGGATTCATTTCAGAATCTATTTTCTTTTTCCTTCCCTTTCTCAATGAGTGACCCATATAAAGAACTCATTACTTCCACAAAATACTATCCCCTCTATTAAATCCCTTACATTATTATACTAATATCTGGTTTATACTTCATTTCCAAATACTCTATTACGCTAACAGAACATTAAATAGAAATATTAATTAGAAATATGAAAAATGATTTAATGCAGACAGAAGACGAAGCTTGAAAAATTAAATATGGATTCTTTATCCCATCAGCACCACACAGTGATAGGATGGCTTTAGAAAATGGTGTTCCTTTGTGAAACCCACAGCGATTAAAATTTTAATTCTACTCGAATTCACTTGCAACTATAGATTGGAGTGCTTGTACGTCATAGACATGATGCAGATGTTCACACACATTCAGTATGGTAATTGAAGCGTCTTCCTACCATGCTTCATAAAATGTCTGTCACAACACAGGGACACAGCATCATCTTGACACTTCTCTGAGATCTCTGGAGTCTATAAATACCATCAGCGTAGTCATATGTTCACATCATAATCTCCCCGCCCCCCCCGAACTGGCCTTGTGTTGTATTTGCCATCTGAAATCACTGATGTCTAATCATATCACGAATTTTCATTCCACAGGTTACTCCTGGAGTGTTATTTTATCACGACTCTCATTATTCAGTAATGGCTATTTTAAGAAGGGCTCATGCTTGCTGAATTGAATTTCATGACTATCAAAGTGCAGACACTTCTTAACCTCCACTGTTGTGATTATTTTTTTGATCCTTAGAGGCCTTGAAGTAAAACATGAATTTTCAAAAATTAAATTCTTCCTCATGATGTTGCCTTTAGACTTAGCAGTGGACACATAAAGGCTCATCATGAAGATTTATTGGAAAAACAGACATGCCTTTACTTGCAAGTCTAACAAAATTTCTTAAATTCTCTCTCCAACTCATGACAATAAAGTTAGTGAGTAGGACTATATTATACATAATAAATATATACATAATAAAATAATATTAAAGGTTTTCAATATAACCCTAGGCTTAAATGAATTACTGGAAAATATTTGGATCAAGCTGCAAATACCCTTTCCCACAATCAAAACTCTGATAACTGTTCCTGGGAGATTTGCAATTTTTTTTATATCACCTACATATGTACATTGAAACCTTTCCAACTAGTTTATTTTCCGATATGTACACTAGAGAAATGCTATAACCATCATGGAATTAAATATAGGACAGGATTTCATCAGTTATAAATATTACAGTAATGTTACATCTTTGATATATCCCAACCTCCATATATATCTCAGGGTTACTCTACTAACCATAGAAATCTCTTGAAAATCAAAATGTCTTAAAAGAAATTACATTTTCAGGTTCTGGAAGAGTAACCATTGTTTTTTTTTTTATTTTTTCTCTTTTCAGAGCAACAAGGAGATCGTCTTAACCAGAACATTCAAATATGTGAGAAACTCTCAAGCATGAAACATACAGAATCCAGTTGTGCAAAACTCACAGAGCCAACATGATCTAATAAAATAGACATTCAGGGAGATTACAAAAACTCACTTACCAGATATCTCTTCTAGGCATTGCTTAGCTGTCTTACTGTAGGAAGAATCCATCTTTGTGGGGCTGGTACAGGAGTCAGCAGGTGGTAAAGAGGTGCCTTCATTTTCTGAATGTGCTCTGAAGTTAACCAAGAAGACAGAGACAAACAATTATGGTCACCAATGACTCATCAAAGTAATTCTTCAGCACAAGGAGAAATCAGTTCACTTCAAGTTTTCCATCAAGGTCATTAACTCTATTTTTTTTTTTTTACAACTGAGATGCTCCACAGATATCTATCTGTATGAGAAATTATGAATTTATTTTATACACTGAAGTATGAAATATGAGTATATATATGCATATCTATATACAGCATATATATAATAGATATCATATATGAGTTAGGTATTGATTAAGATCTCGTGGATTTAGCTGCACTTGAAAACTTGTATCTATCAACGATTGATTGCATTGGCTGTGGGTGTGAAAGAAAAATGTGTGTCCATTTTATAGAACATCTGGAAAATCTGACCATATAATGCTTTTGTAATCATAGAAAAGCACTGAAACCATACCTGAAACACTTTTTAATGCCTATGTTATAAAATGTGTCTAAAATAGAATGCATAAGAATAAATAACAAATAGGCAGTGAAGCACACATATGACTATGATAATCTAATGATTCTGGGACATGGAAGCTGGTCAGAAACAAATGCTTTCACTGATCTCTTGTATGCTTACATTTGTGTGCATGTAAGTAGTGTCCAGGGAAATGTAGTTAACAAGTAAAGAATTGTCTAATAAAATGGAAGGTAGTCAACTTAGGAGTCACATACTTGTGATATTCCAGTCTTACTTGATACAGTTTCCTCTGTACACAGTTGAAAATTCTAGGGATCTCTTGATACAGATACAAATTGCACACACGTTTGATTCAGAAGCCCGTGTTTGAGAAAGTCACAGCACGAGCCACTGAAACACAGGACTCAAGCTGGCACAACACTGCATGCTGCTGGACTATGTGGTTTTCAGAGATTCCACTTGCCCTACTTACAATTCCATTTACAGCACTGAGACTAGCGCATAGCAAGTCATCCATTACCGTATCTTAGCATGAGAACACTTATAGAAATACTTGTCCGTGAAATAAAATGTCAGTATACTTCTGAGTCACATTTTCACTAATCTATGGCTATCATCCTAAGTCATGGTTTTGTGAAAAATAAAATATGAATGTTGATATTAGAACTAGCTCACGTTTACCCAACACCTTGGGGCAAGGTTTGCAATCTCAGTACTACAGAGGTAGAGTCAAGAGCATCAAGAGTCTAAAGCTAAAGCTGGGATAGATATATGGCATGAATGGCAGAGGATAGTAGGAAGATGGTTAGGAGAAGGTCAGAGAGGAAGGAATAAATGGGGAGATGGCTCAGTCTGTAAAGTGCTTGCCACACAACCATGACATGTGTTTGCATTTCCAGCATCCACATAAATATCAAGATGCAATTATCTGTCTGTAACCTCAGAGTAAAGAAGGCAGAGGTAGGCAGATCACTGGAGCTCATGGACAGCCAATACAACTGAATTAGGGGACCACCATGTTCTGCTGAAGACTCTGTCTCAAAGAATAAAGTGACTAGTAGTCAAGTATAACCTCTGGCCTCCACTTTCAGGCATCCATATGCAATCATGCACACAATGGATGAACACGTATTTATGTATCACATATGCCCAATATCACATGTGCACGTATACACACATGCATGAAATATATAATTGACATTTAACTGGTAGATATAAAAATTGGAAAACTTGCTATGATTTTTAAGAAATTATTTAAAGCTGTTTTGTCCTTGGATAGACGTGTCATATATGTGAAGTAATAATCAAAAGAGAAACAAAGCCAGAGTTGTATTTTCCTGACTTCTTAGTCTATTTTATCTGAAGAAGAAGGCAAAAGTCCTCTCATGTTTTCTAGGGCTTCTTGTCCCATGTTGAACAAGTGAGTGTTGAGGTATGCTAAAGTCACTGAAGAAAGCTATCTGGCTGCTGTCCAAGCAGTATCAAAGAGGCATCCAACTTGGCAAACTGGCTTTGACTCAAGACTGGCTTAAAAATTCTGCAGGTTCACTATTCAGGGACTTGTCTCCAAGAAGCCGAGTTACCTTAGGTGTTTACTGAAATGACTGTCCGAAGCCCAATGCTAGTTGTTTTCTATTACATCAGTACCAGTAGCTGTCCTGGGAGGCAGAAGGTGTGATTGTAATGCTTATAAAAATTCAGTACCACTCTGGGAAAGTCTGTATGAACATGAGAATATTTAGAATGCCATGCGAGCAGAGATTTTGCTCTACCCAAAACAGATCTTAGAAAGCATGTCTGAGCTGACAACTGTGGCTACCTTCCTTACTTACTGAACCGACTGTTCACCTCTGTTGACTAAGCCTCTGTTGTCCTTTATCTTTGACACAAAGATTCTTCACATTCTACTTGCTCCGTTTTAACTCAGACTTTCCAATAGATTGTGTTAGTGTGAAAGAACATACTTGTAAGTTGATTACCTTTTAGTGTCTTTTTAGTTTAAGGCACAAGAAAAGATTGTTTATATTCTACCTCTTTGGTGGCTATGCCCTGGCATTCTCCATATGAGTCATTTACAGAAGTAAATATATGGAAACAGAGTAATTGTTAAAAAGAACATAAGGCACTAAACGCTGCATCATTTTCAAAAGAACTTGGAAGCCATCATTGGTTTATTTTCAGAAGTAGGTCAGCTCAGACATCTCTGTTCCATGCATCTTATACAACTGTCAAATATCTAGTCCTTTCTCTATTTATAATAGTACTGGAATTAGATTTTAGCTCTGGTCTACTGGAATATAATCAACACTAATTACTAAAGTTTTGCCTTTTATATACATAATCAAAGAAATTAGCCAAGGTTCTTGACAATTTCCAAATGCTCTCTATTCTTGGGACTATTATACACCAGTAGAATAAAAATATTTGGGTCTTATCATGAAACTATTTATGAAGATGTCATAGGAACACTTTGACATAGTGAATACTGCAGAGTATCCCTCACTGGGATACAACACAGGCTGAACTGATGACAGTGCACTTTATGAGTACCTATTGAAACTATGACCGGGAGCTTGGAAAATACTGTTTACTTCATGTAGAGTCCTAGGTCCCCAGATCTACAAGATGTTATTAGAAGTTGTAGAACTAAGGAATCTAAATTCCAACAATGATTAGCCCAAAATGCCAAGTCCATTTTTTATGTATTTTCTATGCTACAAGTATTGGTCTAGTGTAATATCTATGTAACAACATTCAACTTCTTTCCAATTCTGCAAGGTGGTTGCTACAGGCAAAAAAATTTACAGTTTCTAGTTGTCTGACTGAGATAATAGCCTTGTATATGTTTAACCGTTGTTCAAACTAGACTGCCTGTAAATGATGACTTATCAATCACTACTCTGACAATTATACTTCATTCATAACCCAAGAAATAAAATCAGACTTTATTAGTCCTTAATGAACACTCAGTATTGTATTTCAACTTCCCTTCACTAATAGACCAGTCTAAATGGGACATTATTGAATGTAATGGTGGGTGTCAACTTATGTATTCTAAATGTTATACTTTACTGGCTATTTAAGCAATTTGATAACTCACATTAGGTACTATCAACTTTGCTCTTTTGTAAAAGAGAGTACTTTTATATTGACCTAAATATAACAGTGCATAATTTGTGATATAAATGCATATGTATATTCATACCCAGGTAACTTAGTTTTGACCACTTAGAAAACCTAGAAGCAGTAACATGGTTTTAAATATAATTCTCCATGAAAAGAAACCAGGGCTCACTGAACAACAGACGAAGCTAATTTAGGGAATGCACATGATGAGTCAAACGCACATTAAACCATACAAAAGAGAGTCTTGAAAAGTGGAAATGCTTGTGGAAAGGTCATACAGAGCAGCCTGCAAGATTTCCCAATGTCATAGATAGGGAGATTTTAAACATCAAATTAAATTATGTTGGCAATGTACTATATCTCATGAAATAAAATAAGACTCTATTAGTCCCTATACTATGGATGGATAGATAAAAGGGACATTATTGAATGTAACGGTGGTTGTCAACTTATGTATTCTAAATGTTATACTTTCCCAAACATGAAATACATACAGATGAAAAATGGAATTATAAAATAATTTATCATTATTAGAATATAATTTTAATTTGGATGTAAAACTTCAACAGATGCTTCAAGCTTTGAGATAATGGAAATTAAGAACAATTGTTTTGTTTTACAAAGGTCTCAAAATATCTTTCTCCACAAATGTTTATTAAATGTAAATGAAATTAATTTTAAAATAGAAAACTACAAGGAATATTACCTTTAAGAAGCTAACAAATCTCATGTCAGAATAATAGCAAATATAAATAATCATACCTTTAGAGTAAGCAATAGGATGAACATAGCTTTATTTGTGTGACACTGCAGGAAAACAAACCCATTTGTTTAATGATGGGTAAATATCAGACAGAGCTAGATAAAGAAAAAATATTGAAAATTGGCCTTTAAAATATAAATGTCAGAAAAATTAAGGAAATACTGTAGAACAGGATCCTAGGAAGACATGACTACCATGTAGTACATTAATTTTAAATTGCTTTAAGTGGTGCCTTGGGAACAATTAATAAAATTAAACAGTGTTTATAAGGAAGAGCAACAATATCAACCAATCAGACTCCCAGAGCTCCCAAGGACTAACCACCAACCAAAGAGTACACATGGAGGGACTCATGGCTCCAGATGCATATGTAGCAGAGGATGGCCTTATCTGGCATCAATGGGAGGAGAGGTCCTTGGTCCTGTGAAGGCTTGATGACCCAATGTAGGGAACGCTAGGGCAGTGAGGGAGTGGGTGGGAAGGTGGGGGAACACCCTCAGAGAAGCAGGGGGAAGGGGGAGGAGATAGGGAGTTTGTGGAGGGGAAACTGGGAAAGGGGATATCAGTTGAAATGTAAATAAATAAAATATCCAGTTAAATACAGCACACACACACACACACACAAACAAATGCAAGGTATTGACAACATTATCTTAAGTTTC